CCCCAGGCACATGATGCACCAGGCCAATCTGAACGTCGAGGGCACCAACAAGGCCACCGGCTACAGCCTCGCGATGAGGTGGATCGAGAGGGTGCTCACGCGCGTCACCGCCTGGGTCACCTGGCCGGTGAGGTCACTCAAGCTGGACGACCTGATGGCCCTGTACCGCAGGCGCGAGGCCCGGGACAACTGCAAGCTGTCGTACCGCCTCGAGGTGGCCACGGCCTCGGGGGCGGTGCAGGCGGTGACCGTGAGGAGCGGCGGCGGCGCGTGCCAGGCGCCGCTGACCGTCGGCGCCGCTGCGAGCGCGGCGGGCGGCGCGCGGGACGCAGTGGAGGCGGCGGCGCCGGTGTACCGCTTTGACCTGGCGGCTGGGGCGGTGCTGCGGGTGGCAACCAGCGGGATGGCGTGGGCCGTGCCCGCCGCGGCATGAGCGGCACGCGGGCCTGGCCGTGCCCCGCCTCCCTGATCCTCATGCAGGTGTTGCTGGTGCACAGATGATTTTGCAGAGGGGGGTTGTTGTTTCATGGTCACTTTTTCAGCATCCCGGCAAAACATCCAGCCGGAGGGCATGTGTTTTCACACATTTCTTGGGAGATTTCGAATGCGCGCTGCCGCGCCAGACATGCCGCTCCCTTCCGGGGATCCTCTGTCCCATCGTGTGTGTGGTGGATTGCTTCACATTCTGCGGCGCGCCTCAATTTGTATAATGGGCGCTGCGCCTCCAGTATCTGGCCAGCATGCGCACGTGGCAAGCTGCCTGCAACACGGCAAGCTGCTAAACCCAAACAACCCCTCAACAAATTCCTAAATACCGAATGTATGCTGTGCAGAGTCAGTGACGCAACACATGCCCGTCGACCAGACTTGACAGGGTTGCACAAACCCCTCAACATTCAAATCAAAACCTTGGACGCTCTTTGTCGGCGGCCTTCCTTTGTGCTTTCTGGTGGACGGGCTGGTTGCACCCGGGTCGATTTTCCTCTCCAGGGGGATGCAATTAAAATCTCCCACCCAAATTCAAGCGATGTGTGCGTTGCATTGACGCGTACTGCAAGCACAGTTGGCACTTGCCGGTGCAAGTGTTGGTGTGTATCCTCAACTTCAGATGCTGCTTATTGCTGTGCAGCTATTCACGGTTGCAGCTGTAAACGCAGCTTCCCCTGGCTTTGAGGGATGGCAAGGACACAGACCGCGACAGTCCCAATGAAGGCAGCTCTGTGCTTACAAGGGCCCAGGAATTTGCTTGAAAAACCAGCCCAGTGTGTGCAGGCTGAAAGGTTGTCTTCATACACACAGGTACAAACAAGGCCCACCTGACAAATCAGAGTACAATGCATTGCCTAGTCAAGTAGGTACATCCGATTTGGCCCATATGCAGGCTCGCAGCTGAAGCAGGACCTTGCAGCTGACAGGATCCAGAAGCAGGCTGTTGCTTGTGAAAGTCTTGAGACATCGGCAGCCCCCGCTTTGCTCAAGTCACTGGACCTCCGCTCCTCACGCATCATCGACACCCCACTGCGGCCTGCTTCGTTCAAGCCCGATGAGGCGTGCAGATCAACGCCCAAAAGCCAGGCGCCGCTGAGTACGCTGTGGCTTCACGCAGCAGCCTGCCGCCTGGGGGGCACCTGTCCCTTCGATGCTGCTTGGCGCCCCTCCAGGCGCCCTTCCGTGCTCCTTTCCCGCCCGCACAGCTCCAAGCCCCGTGCCGCCACCATCCCTGCACACTGGGCCCCCCACTGCGCTGCCGCCGACACCGCTGCGGCTCGCCGTGCTCTCGCTGCCGCCCGCCGCAGGCTGGCGGGGTGCTGACAGCGGCGCCGCCCGGGAACGCCGCAACGGCTGGGTTGCCTGGGGCGTCGCCTCGACCTGCAGGGCAAGGGAGGGCCAGCCGCCGTCCTCAGATGCCTCTTGATGGTTGAGTCAACAAAAAGGGCAAGTGCAAACGGGGCCGCTGGCGCATCCTTTCGAAATGCAGGGTTCAGCCGCGGAAGTGGCTTGCCACCCACCATGTGTCGCTGCAGGCGGTAGAGCGCTCCGACCGCTGCGTTGCCCGCGGCCGCTGCTTGACCCAGCAGCGCACCCTGCCGTTCGATCAGGGCGTTAGGTGGCGTGCAGCAGTTGCTGCCGCCACCCTCCACCCCGTCTAAACCCCAGGCGGCTTCTGAATCTGTCAGCGGGGGCAAGGCTGCATCTTGGTACCGCATGAGGAGCCTGCTGGTGCCACCTAGGTCTCCCTGGAGCGTGGGCGGCCTGGGCCCCACACCGGCCCGGCCCCACGGCGGCGCTGCGGCAACCTCCTGCAACGTCTGCTCTGGTGCTGCCGCCACCCGCTGCGGCTGCATGGGGGCGACGCCGCCGCAATAGCCACCAAACGGCATGGGTGCCTCCATTTGCGGCCTGGTTGCGGCTGCGTCCCGCTGCAGCGGCCCTCTGACGCTGCTGCAGCTGCCGCCAACACAACCACTACCGAACGCAGGGACACCGTGTGCAAACATGCGATCAAGGGCCACGAATGACCCTTGGGCCAAGCCCATGGGCGGCGGCGCTGCAGAAGCCCCCGCAGGCGCCGCTCCTGGAAGGATGGCAGGGAGTTCCACTGCCAAGCCGTTGCTGCTACCGCCGGCGCACTGGGCAAGCGACAGCTGTGCTGGGGCGGCACAGAAGCCGCCAATGCTGTAGTGGGCTGGGGCCGGAGAGCAGCTCTGGCAAGAGCTCTGCGCGTCGCTCCTGCTGGCAGTGTGCTGGCCGAGGGCACCCCCATCACCATACCATCCGCCAGACACAAATGCGCCGCCGCACGCGGTGACGCCAGCGCTGCTTGTTGCTGGCGCCGCAGCCGGCGTCCAGGCCGGGGCGCCCGAGGCCGCGCATGCGCGTGGCATGAACGCCGGCGACGGCGCGGGCAGGAGCGGGGCTTCGGCAGATGGCAATGTGGTGAGGTGCCTGCTGTTGATCACGGCCGCATGGAGGGCCTGCTCTGTGGCATACAGGTCTGCTGGCGCCAGCAACGGCGGCGAAAGCGCGCCCGCGCCGCTCGCGCCGACGCCCGCCCCGATGGCCGGCGGCGGGCGGCAGATCCCCGCCAGCGCCAGCTTGCGTGCGGCCGCGCCCGCTGCGGTGCGCCCCGGCGGCCGGGGCAGTGGCGGCCGCCCGGCCGGGCGCGCGGGGGCGGGTGGCGGCACGGGCGGTGGGGGCAGGGGCATCGGCCGCATGCCCACGGGGAGTTTTGTCATCAGCTGCTCTGGAGTACCACCACCGCCAGAAGCACCAATATTACCGGAAGCCCTCCCGCCATCGTAGCGCTGCTCGGCAGCGCCCCTGTCAAAGGGCCACCCGACGGGGTGAGGTGCGCAACCAGCGCTTGCGGTGCGGCCCCGCAGCAGCAGCGCGCCGTGCGATTGGTAGCGCTGCTCTTCAATGGCCAGCAGGGCGGTGCTGCTCTCGAGCGCCAGCTCTGCACGGGCGACCAGGCCGTCCACGCGGCCGCAGCCCGGCGCGCCGCGCCTGGCGACGGCGTGCGTTGCGTCAGCCAAAAAGGCTGCCACAGGGTGGGGCGCGCCACCGCCGCAGATTCTGCTCGCGGGGGTTGGCAGATGCATGCGCAGCGGACCCCGAGGCTGTGGTGGAGGCCCGCCAAACGAGTTGATGCTGCCGGCAGACGCGGCTGGCTTAGCTGCCCCGGCCATGCTGATGCCAGCCGCGCCATGGCGCTGGGCCTCCGGCGGCAGCGACCGTGGGAGGCCGACCGCGGCACTGCCGGCAGCGGTCCTGGAAGTGTCAATACTCTCAGAGCTGCTGGAGCCCCATGCCCGCCCGCCCACCAAGCTGGAGCTGCTGGGCCGGCTGTCGCTGTTGCTGTTGCTCCTGCTCTTGCTGTGGCTGCTGCTGTGGATGCTGCTGTGGCTGCTGCGGCTGCCTGAGCTAGACCCGGCACGCTCGGGATCTTGCATGCGCCGCTGGCGCAGGCGCGCCAGGTTTTCCGTTAGCGCCCCCAGGCCATCTACACTGCCATGGCCGCCACTGCCGCCGAGCCTGGCTTGTTGGGACGTTACATCTGCCAGCGATGAGGCTGCCTTGCTGCGCAAGGGCCGCGCGAGGGCGCCCCCGGTGCCGTGCTGGTCACGCGCTGTTGCATGCGATATCAGGGTGTCGTCAGAGCTGGAGGCGGACGCGCTGGTGGCCGCGGGCGCATGCGGTGACATGCGTGCCGGGGCGGCGAACAGGGCGGCAAAGCGGCGAATGGCCGAGGGCCGGCCTGCTGGGTGCCGTGGCTGGTAGGGCTGTTGCGGCTGCTGCTGGGCTGCACCAGTTGTCACGCATGGTGGAGCCGTGCTTCTGCGCAAGCCGTTTGGTGGACTTGGTGCTGCTGGCGAGGGGGGCCGCCAAGGTTTGCGCTCGTTGTCGCCACCGCGGTCTTGGTGCACGACACCAGCACAGCTGCCCGCCGAGCCTGGTGTACGTGCTGAGCCCTCCGCAACGCCTGAGCGGCTGTCACATGCCCCATACATGTCTGAGACTGTCCAAACAAAAGGGTAAGTTGCCGCTGAATTGCGATCTCAAAGTCGAGTGACATGCTGACAGCTCGTACGGTACCATTAGAGGAGACGTGCGCGTGATAGCTTGAAGCCGATTCTGTTCTGTTCCTCATGAATTTCAATCATCTGCCCGCTGGTCACCCATGTGTCCATCCAGTGAGCTTTCAGGGCTACGTGCTCTGCATGCTGAGCTCAACATGTACATGCAGTAGCACCTGTCGCCATGCGTGACTAGAGACTATCGCCGCTTTCTCTTGATCGTGCAGCCACCATGGCATATAGGAGAGGTTGGTTACCCTAGCCCTTATGCCCCCGAAGGCATGAGCAGCGCGTCGGCGCGCCCCCGCTCGCCCAGCCACCGCCGCAGCGCCTCGCCAGCGCGCACAGCGCCCTCCTGCGGGACCAGGGCGTCGAAGCAGCAGTACAGCTCCAAATCCCTGTCTGCCAGGGCCAGAAGCACCCAGCGGGGGCTCGCAACCCACAGCATGCGGGACGGGCGCGGCGTTTGAGACGACATGACGAACGCTGCCGCCGCCGCCGCCGCGCCACCACCCCCGCCGCCGTTGCTGCTGCCGCCTGCAGCCGCATGCAGCTGCTGGGCGTGGAGCGTGCAGTAGGCACGCACATATGCGCGGCTCAGCTCCTTTCTCGACCTGCGGTCCGTAAAAACGTGCGCTGCATGCGCCGCCTGCACGCCTTGCCGCCGTGACGGGAACGACGCAGCAAAGTGCCACAGCGTCGCTGTCCCTGGGACGCCGCCTCCTGCCGCCGACGGGAGCGCCTCGATCGGCAGCCGGCCGCCGTCTGGGGCCGCGTGCGCCTCTGAGAGCCGCTGCAGCACGCCAGCCTGCCGGAGCGCCTCCTCCACCGGCTCCCGCTGGTCTGTTGGTCCGGTGAGGGACGGCACGAGAGGGGAGCTTGTCACGTGAATGTATTGGCAGTACGAAAGCTCAGCATGCTGATGTCATGAGAGTGCTGAACCTTGCAAACGGCGCGTGCGGCAGCATGACCCTGTCAGCTGCAATGACATGGGGTCTGGGCCGCGGCAGACAGCCGCTCGTGACAAAGGCCGCAACCTGCAGGCAGAGCACATCCTCGATAGCCGCTGGTGGCGCGCACCCGCCAGACGGTGGAAGGCGTCGCTGCCGCCAGACAGGAGCGCCAGGAAAACGCCGCTGCCCGGGTCCAGGCACGCCACATACGCGTGCAGGAACGCGGTTGCGTTGAAGCCCGGGAGGCACACGGGCACAAACGTCTCGCCGGCCCTGGGGCGGCGCACGCCGTGCAGGGTGGATTGATCAGTATCATGTAATGACACCTTCTGCCAACACGCCATTGCATGCGGGTGCAACGCAGCCAGCATGAAGGTGCGGTGCCCACTCTGCTGATCAACACCGGCGTGCTTCAGACGCATGCAGATTGGCAACCAGGAGGGTGAGGAGTAACGCCATCCACCCACCTGAGCGCGTCGTTTGACGCCAGGAAGTTTAGCAGCAGCTGCACATCCAGCACTGACAGCGGTGCAGCGCCGCGGCCGGCCTCAAGCGCAACCACCTGGCGCCCTGCGCTGATGACGCCGTAAAGGGACTCGCTGGCCTGAGGGCGGGTTGGTGAAGTGGGGATGAGTGAGGCAAGCCTGTGTTGAGGCAAGGGTGAGGAGCAATGCGTTTGTGCACAGCCGGCGGATGGGGCTGCCCGAGGGGGCAGTTGAATGACGAGCATTTCCATTGCAACCCAAGCCCGGTCGAGCACAAATTGGCCAGAATGGAGAATGTGTGTGCTTGGCACCTCAAGCTCTGTGCTGCCATCGCACCTGCACAGCGCCCGCCAGCGCGGCCAACGCTGCTCTCCGCTCCGCCGCGGCCAGCTGGGCCGGCTCCATCACGCCCATCATCCAGAAGGGGTCGTCGCTGAGAGCCGACAGCAGCGCCGTGAGGCTGCAATGGGAGCCAGCCAGCAGGTGGCGTGCGTCGTAGCCGGGGTTGCGCTGCAGCATGCGCTCGATGCCTGCGAGAGCAGCGACGGCGGTGGTTGGGTGCAGTTGCAGAGTTTTTGCTGCCGCTTGTGGTCAAGGAACAGTGCTGCATAGGTGCATTCAACCTCAGCATTGACTTAGACCGCCCACCCCGGAATGCATGAATTGGTTGGGGACTGCCAGTACAAGCGTTTGGAGGTCGCGCCTGATAACTGGAGGTCGCGCCTAATAATAGACAGCAGCGAGCGTTGCGAAGCCAGGGCCCGCTCACCGCCTGTGACCAGCACCAGCAGGTGCTGGTGCAGCATGTGCAGCTGCATGCGCAGCGCCGCGACGGGCTCGGCCCGCGATGAGGCGGCTACTAAGTACAAGTGGCCGCGCACGAGGAAGACGATGTTCAGAGGCCCCGAGGTTATGTGGCGCACGCCGTCGCCCTGGTCGCCCACCACGCTGACCACAGCCTGAATCACTGCCAAAAAGCCTGGCAAGGGTGTGGAGCGGCGAGTATGACACGGGGCTGAGAGTGGGGCCTGAGGGCGGGTGTAGGATGTGAGGGCTGCGGGACACCAGGTGTCGCTGCCTCACGCCAGGAGCTCCCGCGCCTGCACACAACTACATGCACTTTACGCCGGTATTGGGGCGCACCGGCGAGCGCGGCCTCGTCGCCGTGGCGGCTGTACACAGGTTTTCCCGCGCTGGTGACGATGAAAAAGTGGCGGCGCCGCCGGCTCCAGCAGCCCCAAGCGCTGTCCTCGTCCTGCTCCGGGCTGCTGCTGCTGTGGGTGCGGAGAGGTGCAGAGCTGGGCGATTTTGGCGCACACAAGGCGGCCCACGGCCGCTGCATTCACACCAAGCTGCAGGCACTGTCATGACTGCTTTGATGCGTGCAAGAGCTGCTGGCACATAGCACGCCCGTTGCCAATCACCAGACCACACCTTATCCGCCGTAGCTCCAGGCGCGACGTAGGCGACAGCGCCGCATGAGAGCGGCCCTCGGCTGCCTCCACCTCCCCGACGCTGTGGCTTGCCAACGCTGCAGCCTCCACCTGTGAAGTTTCTTGCTGCTGCTGCTGCTGCTGCTGCTGCTGCTGCTGCTGCTGCTGCTGCTGCTGCTGCTGCTGCTGCTCAGGCTGCTTCTCAGGCGGATCAGGCACACCGCGCGTGGACCCCTCCACAGCATTACCAGCTACACTGACACCGTTGTGCTCTGCGGCAGCGACGCTGGCTGTCGCCTCTGAGGTGGCATCGCTGCCGTCACCGCTCGCGGCTGCCTCATCATCGCTGGCAGCCCCCAGGGTCTCGAGCTGGCTGTCAGAGGCCAGGCTGCCGAAGCTGATGCTGCTCGCGTGGCGCGCGTGCGCCGGTCCCCACCGCTCCTGATCGCGCGGCTTCAGCTGCTGCTGCTGCTGGTGCTGCTGCTCGCCACCAGCTGCAGACGCGGATGGCGGATGGTTTGGGTCCGGGCGAGGCCGTAGGGCGGGCGCGAGCTGCTGCAGGAGCGGTGCAGGCTCAATCGGCGGCACATCGCCAGTTGGGCCTCCTGCTGGCGCCGAAGGTCGTGCCTGCACATCCTCTGCTGCGGCCGCATCCAATCCGGAAGGCCCCTCCACAACCAGTTCCGCTGCAGGGATATCAGTACTTTTTGATGCTTCCACTGTCGCTGCTGCAGCTCTGGCCGCTGTGTGTACCGCCGCATCAGCCTCGGCGGTCGTGGGCGCAGCGCGCGGCCTGCTCAGCGGCGGGGTGGTGCTGTGCGCCCTAGCACCGTGCAGATCGTCTAGGGCTGCGTGATCCATATGCTCTTCGTCATCCCAAGCACTGCTATATGCGCTGGCTTGGCGAGAGGGCTCCGCCGTGCGGGAAGCAGACGGAGGATCCGCATACTCGCTGTCAGAGTCGTCAGACATCCCCGTTGTTGCCTTCAATTTAAGTTCAACATTGTACTTGGGCACCTGAATCTACGTATTCGCGCGTGATCTCGGCGTATGCAGCAGAGAAGAGAGAGCACAGCAGCGTATGTTTTGGATAATCCGACTGCGCAAAGATGACATGGCCCCTACACAAGCAACGACCGTGCTTTGTCACCCAGTGACATCACTGTCACGAGGATCGCGACTGGAGTGATACCGTGCCCAGGGTGCATTCGATACAGACACCATGACTTGAAATTATTTTGCTGGCCCCAACAGCTGCGTGGTTGTACAGATACCTAACGACGGAAGCGCGCGGAACCACTCTCGGCACACTTGTTCAGCTGAAGGAGCACCGTACTCGTTTGGCTCAGGGAATACTATACTATGCTGCAGCTGGCCGGTGGGATCCAGGGCGTGGCGCTGCTTACACAGGGCGGCGCCGCGTGCCTGAGGCTCGCACACGCGCTGCAGCAGCAGCGAGCGCGGCCCTGCGATGCGCAAGCAGCCTGCCGCCACATGTACACGCGCGCTGGCCAGGCGCACGAGACGCCGTCCATCATACCAGACGGCGGCCCCGCGGGCGTGACCGCCGGGCGCTCGTCAGAAGTGAACTCTGTGCGCCCGGTCGGCGACCCCCGCCTGAGGCGCCTCGTTGATGACGTCTTCACGGTGGGCAGCCGGGGCCTGGACCTGCTGCCCGCGGGCACCCCGGGGACGTTCCCCTGGCACGCAGGGGCGCTAGCTGCTTGCAACGGGCCGGCAGCGCGCTCGACATGTTGCAGGATTGGCTAGCTTCCGCTGTTGAGCCAAATCCAGCACAACACTACCCTAAACGCATAAGCATGCACGATTCGCTGCCCCTTGCCCCCAGTTATATGAGACACGAGACCCTGGCGCGCAGCGTAGCATCGTGCGCCGCCACTACGCTCCAAATGCGACCTACCAGAACAATGTGCGGGCCCCAGGCCCTCCGTTAACCGGTATTCAGCGGTCTCATCCAGAGGATGATACCTTGCTGTCCTTGACGTGCCTGAATCCGCACGCTGCGTGGTGACGATGTCCCAGCCATGACGCGGTATTGCTGCAACCCCATTTGACCCCCATTCCATCCCCAGATCATGCGTGTCCAGGGCGCCGAGGCCATTATGCGGCGCTTCAGCCTGCTGCCCAAGACTACTCAATCAGTGGGTGACGAGCGCCGGCGCCGGCCCTGCCTGGTCGCCAAGCCCACGTGGCGCAGCGCCCTTGCCCTGCCTGGCTGTCATGCACGCTTTCAGCTCCTTTGCGTTCTAGCCCATGACGTGGTCTTTTCCCAGTGGCATCAACCAAGGGCCACGGTGCTGTTTTCAGCGCCTCATGATGCGCGTCACCCCCATCATGTCCAGCGAAGCGAAGCCGCTGCCCGCGCCCGCCGTCCACTCTCGATGGACCCTCCATCCACCCATCTCACCCAACCACACGCCCGCAGGTGCGCATCGTGTACGAGCCGCCGGTGGAGCTGGGGGCGACCAGCAGCAGCCCTGACGCCCTGGGCAACCTGGGCTTCAAGGGAGACCTGGAGGTATGTCCAGGGCAGGGCCTGCCTAATCTGAGGGTTTGGACCACCTCCACCCTTTCTGTCCTTACTGTTGGTTTACTGTCGAAGCGGACCCGCCAGGGGCTGCACAGGCGGCACCAGCCTGTGGTGACTCCCAACGCCGCGTGTGCACAGAGCGGTCGCCGAGATGCGCCAGTAGAGCGCGTGCACTTCTCTGATACCAACACAATGCTCTGACCCGCCCTCGCTGCCTGCAGGTCGAGATCAAGAACTCCCAAACCTGTGCGGATGGATTGGATTTCAGCATCTCCTAGGGGACGGCCGATCAGCAGGGTGCCAGCCTGGCGCGCTTGCAATCACACCACCCCGCCAGCAGGGGCCTCAAGCCATCCGCCTGTGCGCCGCCACAACAGCAGCTGCGGACGCATCCGCTAGCTCCCCCGCGCCCACCCGCCTCTGGCCCCCCCGCCGACCCCCCTCCAGACGTGTTCCAGCACCCCGGGATGCTGCGGTTCCTGGTGGTCGGCGGCAGGTCAGACGTGGAGGTGAGGACGGCGCACCCGGGGGCATGAGCAGGGGCCCGCTGCGGCAGAGGCCCTAGGGGCTGCGCTCGCGCCAGAGCTGGCGGGTGGCGGCTCGAGGGAGGGAGTGGAAGGAGGCACGTGACGCGGAGGGACGTGGCTCAGCAACTTGGTGTGTCAGCTGAAGGCCACGAGGGAACTCTCAAGCGACTGCGAGCCAATTAGCTGGGGAGCTCGTCAGGGTCAGCACGCCTCTCGCCCATTTCTGGACAACCGCACGCAACGGCGTCGGCAGCGTCATGACCTGCATTGCTGCATGCCCGCGCCTTGTGCCCGCTCATCGCTCCCCCTGCAGCTGCCTGTCCTGACGCGCCTGGCCCTGGACAAGGGGAGCCTGGCCATCCTGCACCACCAGGACGTGTGGCTCAACAAGGTGAGGAGGGGGGGGTTGGTGGAGGGGATGAGGGTGCTGGGGCGGAGCGGGGAGGAGGGTGTGGGGTCTGGGGGGAGGCTGGGGAGGATGCCATTTCTCAGTGAGGCTGCCGCAGCAAGTGTGATCAGCGCGATGTATGAGTTGCAGGCAACTGGGGCTCTCAAGGCTCGCGATTTGCCGCTCACATCACTCTTTCGCCCGTTTTGATCATCCTGCTGTACACAAAGTTGGCCCCGCCGCCGCCACCCTCCCCGCTAGGCGGCCGTCTGGGGGCCCCTGCGCAAGGGCTGGGGCGCCGTCGCCACCACCATGGCCGGCTCCCCGCCGCTGGACGACCCCGGCCGCCAGCCGCAGCGCCCGCGGCGTGGCGAGGAAGGAGAGCAGTCCGAGGAGGGCGAGGAGGAGTCGCGGGAGCGCGTCGGGGAGCAGGGGCGGCGGGGCGGTCGGAGGGAGGGGGGCAAAGGGGGCGAGGACAGCGGGCTGAGGCGGGCGCCGCCTGGCGTGGAGCCGGTGCCCGCAGCTTGATGGGGCAGGGCACCCTGCACCTCTGTTTGCGCAACGTTTGTCCCAATTTCTGAAAATAGCAGCACCATCGCATTCGTGTTTTGCATCGCTGTTCTGGGCGTTGATTTAGACGTCTGGTGAACAGCCAAGTTCCGAATTGGTTTGACCAAATGTTTTTTGCTGCGACCGCGTGGCTGCACAGACTATGTTGATTGTAGACACAACCAAGGCTGCCGTGGTTGGGTTACAATTGTGGCCATGCATGTGCAAAGAGAAGATCTTCTTGAAACCTGTTGCAGTTTCGATGTAATTGCGCCGCTCAGCCGCTGCTGCTTCACGCACCGTCTGCGAACGCAGCAATCACTGCCGGCCCCGCTGCTGTATGACTTGGTGGCGCCTCGCCGATGCCATCAAAAAGTGGATCAGACCGAGCCGACCGCTGGGGACGCCGACAGCCGCCGATCAGCAGCACCTTCCTGCTAGCTAGTTGGCAGCTTCTTGAAGGTGTAGTTGACGCCGGTGTCCTTTGCCACCACCTGCCCGCTGCCGCGCATGACCCACTTTGAGGTCAGCAGGCCCTCCACGCCCACGGGGCCGCGCGCGTGGATGCGGCTCGTGCTGATGCCCACCTCCGCGCCCAGGCCAAACCTGGCCGGGTGCAGGGTGCAGGGTAGAGGTCGGGTTGGTTTGATTGGCAGTGACGGGCGCACAAGGCGCGGATTAGCTGCGTGTGCTTGCTTCAGAGGGCTCCCATGCATCACGGCTAGCGTGCCCAGCCCGACAGCCTGCCCTTTCAACCTGCTGCAGACGTATCCGTGCGCTGTACTCTACCATCCAGCAAGCACGAGATGCCTCGCAAACGCAGGGCATGCACTCGAACAATTGACTGGTCCACGCCCCTACGACTGCCGCCCGCCCCGCACCTGAACCCGTCGCTGAACCGTGTCGACGCGTTGTGGAACACGCACGCGCTGTCCACCCCCAGCAGAAACGCGTCCGCCGCCGCCGCGTCCTCCGTGATGATGCTCTCCGTGTGGCCGCTGCCGTAGGCGTGGATGTGGTCAATCGCCTGCTGCAGCGCCTCCACGGTCTCCAGGGTCACCCCAAGGCTGCTGTACTCGTGGCGCGCGGCCGGCGCGGCCGGCAGGCCGAGCGCGGGGCGCGCCGCGGCGAGGCGCTCGCCGGCGTGCACCTGACCGCAACGTGGTGGATGAAATGGCGTCGTCGTGTTGGGGGGGCACGGGAGTTTTCTCACATGAGCACTGCCTCCCCAGTCCTGCACAACTTGTAGGTCATGCCCCATCACGGCGAGCGGACCCTTGCAAGGAGCACTGGGCCGGGGAGCTGATGGTGCGGCCCACCTCTGCGCCCACTGCCCGCAGCGCCTGCAGCAGCGCGTCCACCCCCGCGTCCCCCAGGGCCTCGTGGACCAGCACTGTCTCGACCTGGGGGTTGACAAACGTGTGTGTGCGCGCGCGCGCGCGCGTGTGTGTGTGTGTGGTTCCCTGTGAGTGCATGTAGGCATGTGCATGCAGGCACGTGCGACTGCGCGTGAGACGCAGGGTGCCCGTCACCAGGCGTTTGCGACGGGAGGCAGCAAGCAGGCCACTGGCAGCCGCCTTGCAAGTCCAAATTGTCACAGGCTCTATTGCAGCAAGCAGCGGCAGCAACGACCGCGGCTGCAGCGCGGCCGGCACTCCATTCCCCCCGCGCACCGCGTTGCAGGCGGCGGGGTAGTCCGCCTTTGCGTCCGCCACGATCTTCAGCGCCTTGTCCAGGTCAGCAGCCTTGTCCACGTATATATGGCAGATGCCGTCGGCGTGGCCCAGCACCGGGATCTTGGTGTTGGCCTGGGGCGAGCGAGGGTGCAAAGGCGTTGTAAGGGCACCAGCCGGTGTGGCGGAGGCGCTAGGGTGAACAGCCAGGGAGCAGCGACGACGTCGACATGGCAATACAGGCTGCGACACGCTGCGCCTCAAGGCTGCGAACCACAGCAGTGGCACACGCATGTTGCGTGCCGAGCCCTCTCCTTGAAGCCGCGGCTCAACCACGAGGCCGCCTGCACCACCGCCCCACCTGGATGTGGCTGACGAGCTCGTTGCCGCCGCGGGGGATGACGAGGTCGATGACATCATCCAGCTTGAGCAGATCCGCGATCTCGTCGCGGCTGGTGACGAGGGCGATCAGGTCCGGGCCCAGGGCGCCGATGGCGTCCACAATGACCTGTAAAGGACGGGTTGATTTGTGTTGGATTGGATTGAGTTGAGTAGGATTGAATTGGGCACTGCTGCTATGTGCAATTGTGTGCGCGCGCGCGCGCGCTTGTGTGTGTGAGTGGGGGGGGTGTAATTGGGTGCGAGTATCGACAAGAAGGTGGATGATGGAAAATCCCTGTTTTAAGCAGCCCAAGCACATCAGATGGGCACACACCACACATATACTTGTGCGGCTCACACACACAAGCCCACCACCAGCATCATTTGAGGACCAGCAGCTGCAGGCCCCGCACCTTGTGCAGAGCAGCGTTGGAGCGCGCCGCCTCCTTGCCGCCCTTGAGCAGCAGCCCGTTGCCGCTGCGCAGCGCGAGCGACGCGATCTGGGGCAGCGCGTCGGGACGCGCCTCGAAGATGATCAGCAGCACGCCGATGGGCGCGGTCTGCTTTTCCAAGACCAAGCCTGGCGTTAAGGACAAGCGGGGCAGGGGCAGGGACACAGGCATGGGCTTGGGCTTGGGGCCGCGCAGGGTGGCATGCCAGGCAGCGCCACCACTGCGTTTGGTGCAACGCCGATCGGGCACGCCGGCACCGCACCGCCGCCAGCACCGGGCCACCCAGAGCGTCAGGTGGGTCGCGGAGAGCAGGAGCAGCGCTCGCTCGTGTGGCGATCGCCATTCTGCTGCAGCCTCCATTCACGTGCGGCCGCCTGCCCAGCCACCAAAAGGCACGGCTCTCCACATGTTGCAACAAAAAACGCGGTGCCGGGCGGCGCACCGTCTGCGACCTCGATGCGCGACAGCACGCGCCGAATCGGCTCGTCCTCCGCCGCGATTGCGCGGATGCCCTGCGCCAGCTGCGCGATCTTCTGGGGCTTCATAATCAACCGCTGCAGCAGCGCGTCCGCGATCTTACCACGCGCCTCCTCCACGTCCTATTGGAGCCGAGCGGGGACGCGATGGGCGGTCGCGTCATGCTGCGCACAGCACGAGCAGCAGCAGAGCAGCAGACGGGCGCGCACGCTGCGAGACGGCGGCCGGCGCCAAAGAGGCTGCACGGCCGCCCTGCAGCCAGCTACAGCGTCGGATTGAACGCGACAGCTAAAGAGTCGCGGTGAGCTTGCCTTGACGTTCTCCTCCATAATCTGCTGCTCGTTCGCCACCAGAGCGTCAGCCACGCGGTGAAGCATCGCCACCCGTTCTTCTGTTGGCAATGCCTGCAGCTTTCTGCTCGCGGCCCGCGCCCGCTGCGCCATCTCGCGTGCGACTGCCATCCTACTAAGCTTGATCAATGCGATTCAGCAAGCAGCGGACTTATCATGCAACGTCTGACTACGCAAGATACCACGCAAAGCCTAGACGGGCGACCGCAGAGTTGCGAGCGTCCAGTGCCGCTGGTGCCGCGGCTCACAGCGTGCATAGCGCACCCTGGGCACGGGTGTGTGCAGCACACGGCCTCCCAACATGATGGCAGTGGGACCATCAAGAAGGTTCTTGGGAGCCCGTTAGCAGGGACTGCAATGTGTTGGAGGTCTCAAGGTTTTACCCCCCAGGGTTTGACCATCCACGCACTCAAGGTGGCGATGAAGATGATAGAGCAGAAGCAGACTCAGGTTCACTCCCAGGATCAGCAAATAAAATTCAGTGAGCTTTCAGATCTTTGGCGGCGAAGATGCTTTGCTGTTGCTGGCCTATTCGCACGAGGGCCATCCGACACTGGTGCATGAACCAGTAACGAGGCACCCTCATTGATGACTATCAGTGGAAAGGCACACAAGGACATGGTGACCCAGGGATGCAGTATTGCGAAGTATGTCCTGCATTGCTCATGTCACTGGGTGGATGTACCATGCATCATGGCGACAGGGTGGATGGATGGAGAATCCCGCCTTGTGGCCCTGGCACTCTCAAGGCACTCCCGAGCTCAGGTGCACCTCGGCATATTCAATGTCACCACATAGGAAATTTTGCTTGGCTAGCACGCGCCTGCCCCGGACGCTGCTCGTTCCCCGCCTGGCCCCCGTCGTTTTCTAGGTGGCCCACAACCAGAGCATGCTTGTTGTGCAAGCAGCTGCTTCTGCCGCAGTTTGCTCTGCCAGTGCGCAGCACGCGTTGTCCGTGTTGTATCAGTGCTAATACTTGAATCTGTTTCCGTACGCTCTTCATTTTGCCGAATCGAACCGGCCGCGCAGTTTGCACGACGGTCTTGTTGATGGTGAGGTCCAGGGTGACCCGGCTGGGGCCACGCCCCCGTGATCGAATGACTTAGGTCAATAAGACCACCACAACGTCGGCTAACCGACAGGCTGAGGTGGCCAGACCGTTCAAAATAACCAGCGACGAGGTGGCTCACTCCATGCCGGCCAAACTCAACGGGCTGGTGAAAGGCTGGATTAACAGCAGGCTTGCAGGTGCAGCGGGCCGACATGATGTGCTGGAGGCCTCGCCGGGCTCCACGACAAAGTCAGAGTTTGAGGCAGATGCGCCGGCGCCGCAGCGGAGCCCGCTTCCCTGGGTCAAGCGTGGCAAGAAGGCCCACGCCCTGGACGTGGAAAGCAATGCGTGAGCATCCTGAAACCTTGGCCGCGTACGAAGCTGCGGTGTGTGCTGACCAGCACGGTGTTGCTGGGCTTGTTAGCAACCTACAGAGCCTGCGTGCTCGCAATGCTCGCTCAACAACCAGCCCCCAAACCCTGCCCCATATGTCGGCCACCTATGCGTGGCCGCAGCCGCGACACATTTGCGTCAGACAGCAACACCGCCGGCGCCCCGCCGCGCGAGCTCCAGGAGCTCGCGGCTGCGCAGCAGCTGCTTGCCCGCCACATGGCCGACGTCGCAGACGCGGGCAGCCGCGGCAGCAGCCAGCGCAGCAGCAGCACGGCGGGCGACAGGGGCGGCCTGGGAGGCTACGGTAGCGGCGGCGGCAGCGGCGGTGGCGGCGGCGAGTCGCGCACACCGCGAGCGGAGCCGCTGCTGTCCCAGGTGGAGGTGCTGGTGAATGAGCACCGCCTGGCCCTGCTGGAACAGGAGCGGCTGCGCGGCCAGCTGGGCGCGGCGGGCGAGGCGCTGGCGCAGGCTCGCGTGAAGGAGGACCGGCTGAGCGCGCTGGAGCAGCAGAGGTGCGGGCGCTGCCTGATTTCGCTTGGCTGGTGACGTGCTTTTGATGGCGGTGGGCCGGGACGGCTACGCAAACGTGAGCTTGGCGCGCTTGGGCTGGCGCCCGTGACGCTGGCGTTGCGCGGCATGCACCGCAGGGCAGAGGAGGTGCAGCGCATGCGCGACGACCTGGACTCAGCCGGCCGCACCATACAGCGCATGAGGGGTGCGCGCGCCGTCAGCAGCACCCGGATCGTGGTGCCGCCGCCGGCGCCGCTCACAACGCCTAAGGACAGCAAGTCCGGCAGCAAAAAGCAGGCGGTGGCTGCAGGCGCCGCGGCTGGCACAGGTGAGAGTGCAGCCGCAATCCCTGCATTGTCAGTGGTGGCTGGTGTCTGCTCACCTGTTAAACGCGTGCTGCTAGATACAGCAAGCATCTGGTTCTTTACGTGCTCTTTGCCCTGGCCGCAGGGGCTGCGGCAAAGCCAGCAGAGACCGTACAATTGAAACACCAGCCGCAGCGCCCCCCATGGGGCAGCAACAAGGACCAAGGGCCGGCAGCAAGGCGAAAGAGCGGCCACGGCACGGAGCCGCGGCAGCAGCATCAGACCCTTGCAGCAGCGCCACCCCCTCGCCGCCTGCTCGGCGGCACGGCGCCACCAAGAGAACAGCAGCATCCGCCTGCGCGGGCAGCCGGGTCCCGCACGCAGCCAACACACGCAGCGCCGGCCGCGGGTGCTCGGGGCAGCGGAAGCGGTAACGGCAGCCTGGCGGCAGGGAACAGCAGCGCGCGGAGCTCCGCCAGCTGGGCAGCGGCACCCGACGCCGCACAAGCCGCGCCCCAAATCGACGGCCTTGCTGCAGAGGCGTCCCGGGCATCATCCTCCGCCGCCGGTGACGCGTTCTGCCGCGTTGACGCTGTCGGTTCCGCGGGCAGCATCGGCAGCTGGGCCGAGCGGGGGCCGTCGCGCGGCAGCGTCAAGGCGGAATCCAGCAGGGGCTCTGCTGGTGCCCAGCGCCCGGCCAGGTCCGGGGCTGGGCCGGCTCCCCGTACCCCAGGGCGCACGGCTGCGGACGTGGCGGCGGCGGCGCACACCGCGGCGTCGGACAGCTCCCGGGGCGGTGGCGTGCGCGGCCGTGGTGGCGCGGACAGCAGGGGTGCGGAGCGGGGGCTCGGGGCCGAGTCGTCCGAGTCCGGCCTGTCCTCTGCGCACGGCAGCCGTCCGGCGTCGCGGGCGGCGCAGCAGCAGCCGCCGCGCGTGCAGCGGCGCCCCTGGTTGCAGACGGGCACCAATTCGTCGGCGCCAAAGGCCGCCGCGACCCCGACAGCGACACACACCCGTCCACCGCTGCGACAGCACACGCCCTCGTCACTGGAGCAGCCGCACGGCGCGCGCGCGTCAAGCCGCGCGCCGCGCGAGGCGGACGCCGCGGCGTTTGGGAGCGTAGACATTCAGAGGGGCCACGCTGACGAGGCCGCCGCGGCCGGGCGCAGCGTCAGCCCCCAGGTTGGGCGCGCCGCGCCGGGCGGCGGCAGGGGCGCTTTTGGCAGCGTAATTGCGGCCAGCCAGCCCCACGGGTCGCCGCCGCCGCCGCCGCCGCATGCCCAGCACTCGCGGGGCGCAGCCAGCGATACGGCGG